GGACAAATGTTGTCGCCTGTTGAACGAGGTGACCTTGCTCGGGTCCCAGGTGTACGGTTTCTAAAATGGCTGCCATATACACGTCCACTGATAGGAGACGCGGAAGGTATTAAACTGATCAGAACAATACTAAACACACCACTAATAAGGTTTCTCTCCTGTATGGCTCCTCAAATGATGCTTAAGATTAGAAGCGGCTGAAAAGCATTTCTCACACTCCGAACAAAAATATATTTTTTTAACATTCTCTCCACTTTGAGCGAAATGACGTTTGGGAAGAGATTAACATAATTAAACACAGGCAGTAAAAATACAGTTTTTAGCCATACCCTGTAACTTTAAAACTACACATCCCATCTTCATAATTACATATTTGGAATCAGCACACTTAAAACATAAACATAACCAAAGATCAGCCAAATCCATCCAGGGGTTAAAAAGTTAGCTGGAGGTCACTTTATGACCGACCGCAAGCACATTTTCCTGCCCAAAACAGTTCCATAGATTTGGGCTGTGAGGTCGGTCTATTTCAGGCTGAAAAAACGACTAAGTCCCATCGCGAATGGGACTTAGTCTCTGCAGCTGAAATAAGGCTGAAAAAAACGGCTGAAAAAAAGACTAAGTCCCATCGCCGAATGGGACTTAGTCTCTACAGCTGAAATAAGGCTGAAAAAAACGGCTGAAAAAAAGACTAAGTCCCATCGCCGAATGGGACTTAGTCTCTGCAGCTGAAATAATTTCCCATTTACTGAACCAAGTGGGAAATAGCAAGGCAGGCACAAAGGGTTTGCACCAGGTCTGGGGACACAGGGGACACCGTCTTAAAGGGGCCGTGTCCCCAACAAGTCTGAGGACACGGCCTTAAAGGGGCAGTGTCCCAATCTTCCTGATGTCCCAAAAAAGGTGTTTAAAGGGCCAGCACCAGTCACATAAAGAGTCCATAAACCCCAATATGCCCACTGACAGTCTTAAAGGCCATACACACCAAATAAAAGTGCATACATTTTCACAATCTCCCAGGGGCCATAGTCATGCGGGAGGAGGCTGGCAAATAGGCTTCTCCACAACCAGGGAAGCAGGGCAATTTGCCATTTAAAGGGCCCGTTACAAATAGCAGTTTGTAACAAGGTGTCAATCCATATCTGCCAAGTGACCCGATGTAGGGGGAACAGTCCCTATTCTGCTCTGTGTCGGTGTGTATCATGGTCTCTGAGGACAGGTGTCAATCCATATCTGCCAAGTGACCCTATGTAGGAGGAACAGTCCCTATTCTGCTCTGTGTCAGTGTGTATCAGGGATCCTTAGGACAGGTGTCAATCCATATCTGCCAAGTGACCCGATGTTGGGGTAACATTCCCTATTCTGCTCTGTGTCAGTGTATATCAGGGATCCTTAGGACAGGTGTCAATCCATATCTGCCAAGTGACCCGATGTTGGGGTAACATTCCCTATTCTGCTCTGTGTCAGTGTGTATCGGGACCACTGATAGGAGACGCGGAAGGTATTAAACTGATCAAAATAGTACTAAACACACCACTCCTATCTGGTGTCACATTAGCTTGACCGCGCAGTGCCCCAAATTTGCAGTAAGAGGACCCACCAAGCCTCTTCTTCCATCTCCCTGTTACAAAAATCAATGCCGTGTACACGTCCACTGATAGGAGACGCGGAAGGTATTAAACTGATAAAAATAGTACTAAACCCACCACTCCTATCTGGTGTCACATTAGCTTGACCGCGCAGTGCCCCAAATTTGCAGTAAGAGGACCGACCAAGCCTCTTCTTCCATCTCCCTGTTACAAAAATCAATGCCGTGTACACGACCACTGATAGGAGCCGCGGAAGGTATTAAACTGATCAGAACAATACTAAACACACCACTCCTATCTGGTGGCACATTAGCTTGACCGCGCAGTGCCCCAAATTTGAATTAAGAGGACCGACCAAGCATCTTCTTCCATCTCCCTGTTACAGAAATCACTGCCATATCCATACAAATTGTACAAAATGTCCAGGATAGTTTTCCAGGGACAAATGTTGTCGCCTGTTGAACGAGGTGACCTTGCTCGGGTCCCAGGTGTACGGTTCCTAAATGGCTGCCATATACACGTCCACTGATAGGAGACGCGGAAGGTATTAAACTGATCAGAACAATACTAAACACACCACTAATAAGGTTTCTCTCCTGTATGGCTCCTCAAATGATGCTTAAGATTAGAAGCGGCTGAAAAGCATTTCTCACACTCAGAACAAAATATATTTTTTTAACATTCTCTCCACTTTGAACGAAATGACGTTTGGGAAGAGATTAACATAATTAAACACAGGCAGTAAAAATACAGTTTTTAGCCATACCCTGTAACTTTAAAACTACACATCCCATCTTCATAATTACATATTTGGAATCAGCACACTTAAAACATAAACATAACCAAAAATCAGCCAAATCCATCCAGGGGTTAAAAAGTTAGCTGGAGGTTCCTTTATGACCGACTGCAAGCACATTTTCCTGCCCAAAACAGTTCCATAGATTTGGGCTGTGAGGTCGGTCTATTTCAGGCTGAAAAAACGACTAAGTCCCATCGCCGAATGGGACTTAGTCTCTGCAGCTGAAATAATTTCCCATTTACTGAACCAAGTGGGAAATAGCAAGGCAGGCACAAAGGGTTTGCACCAGGTCTGGGGACACAGGGGACACCGTCTTAAAGGGGCCGTGTCCCCAACAAGTCTGGGGACACGGCCTTAAAGGGGCAGTGTCCCAATCTTCCTGATGTCCCAAAAAAGGTGTTTAAAGGGCCAGCACCAGTCACATAAAGAGTCCATAAGCCCCAATATGCCCACCGACAGTCTTAAAGGGCCATACACACCAAATAAAAGTGCATACATTTTCACAATCTCCCAGGGGCCATAGTCATGCGGGAGGAGGCTGGCAAGTAGGCTTCTCCACAACCCAGGGAAGCAGGGCAATTTGCCATTTAAAGGGCCCGTTACAAATAGCAGTTTGTAACAAGGTGTCAATCCATATCTGCCAAGTGACCCGATGTAGGGGGACCAGTCCCTATTCTGCTCTGTGTCAGTGTGTATCAGGGAACCTTAGGACAGGTGTCAATCCATATCTGCCAAGTGACCCGATGTAGGGGGAACAGTCCCTATTCTGCTCTGTGTCAGTGTGTATCAGGGATCCTTAGGACAGGTGTCAATCCATATCTGCCAAGTGACCCTATGTAGGGGGACCAGTCTCTATTCTGCTCTGTGTCCGTGTGCATCAGGGGCTCTGAGGACAGGTGTCAATCCATATGTCAAGGTGTCAATATGTCATATGTCAGGTGTCAATCCATATTGATTGTGATTTAGGAATGTTAGGTGATTTCTGCCCTTTATGGATTAAAACCAGACTCTGTATCAACTGTGTAATTTTCCATGGGAGTTTTGCCATGGATCCCCCTCCGGCATGCCACAGTCCAGGTGTTAGTCCCCTTGAAACAACTTTTCCATCCCTATTGTGGCCAGAAAGAGTCCCTGTGTGTTTTAAAATTCGCCTCCCCATTGAAGTCAATGGCGTTTCGGGCGGTTCGCCGGTTCGCGAACATTTGCGGAAGTTCGCGTTCGCCGTTCGCGAACCGAAAATTTCGGGTTCGCGACATCACTACTTAGGAAAAGATGCAAAGCCAGTGAACCACTTGTGAACAGCTGTTTCATTGTTAATGCAAGTCATCAGCATGAGGTTGGTTACTGGTTTGCTTATTAGTGCTTGGGAACCAAAAACCAAAAAGTTTATGGTGGGTAAAAAATTGCGATTGAAAACCCCTTCCACCTGACATCTGTGGATAGTTAATACAATGTTAAACAAAAATCTGCACAACAGTCAAGCCATAAGGCTTTTCTCACAAATCTGCAGTGATGTTACTACACAGCATCTCACAAAAGTGAGTACACCCCTTACATTTTTGTAAATATTTTATTATATCTTTTCATGTGTCAACACTGAAGAAATGACACTCTGCTACAATGTAAAGTATACAGCCTGTATAACAGTGTAAATTTGCTGTCCCCTCAAAATAACTCAACACATAGTCATTGTCTAAACCGTTGGCAACAAAACTGAGTACACCTCTAAGTGTAAATGTCCAAATTGGTTCCAAAGTGTCAATATTTTGTGTGGCCACCATAGTTTTCCAGTACTGCCTTAACCCTCATGGGCATGGAGTTCACCAGAGCTTCACAGGTTGCCACTGGAGTCCTCTTCCACTTCTCCATGACGACATCACAGAGCTGGTGGATGTTGGAGACCTTGCACTCCTTCAACTTCCGTTTGACGATGCCCCAGAGATGCTTAATAGGGTTTAGGTCTGGAGACATGCTTGGCCAGTCCATCACCTTTACCTTCAGCTTCTTTAGCAAGGTAGTGGTCGTCTTGGAGATGTGTTTGGAGTTGTTATCATGTTGGAATACTGCCCTGCGGCCAGTCTGCAAAGGGAGGAGATCATGCTCTGCTTCAGTATGTCACAGTACATGTTGGAATTCATGGTTACCTCAATGAAATGTAGTTCCCCAGTGCCAGCAGCGCTAACGCAGGTGCAGATCATGGTACTCCCACCACCATGCTTGACTGTAGGCAAGACACAGTTTGTCTTTGTACTCCTCACCTGGTTGCCACCACACACGCTTGACACTATCTGAACCAAGTAAGTTTATCTTGGTCTCATCGGACCACAGGACATGGTTCCAATAATCCATGTCATTAGTCTGCTTGTCTTTAGCAAACTGTTTGCAGGCTTTCTTGTGCATCATCTTTAGAAGAGGCTCACTTCTGGGATGACAGCAATGCAGACCAATCTGATGCAGTGTGCCGCGTATGGTCTGAGCACTGACAGGCTGTCCCCCCACCCCTTCAACCTCTTCAGCAATGCTGGCAGCACTCACACGTCTATTTCCCAACCTCTGGATATGACACTGAGCATGTGCATTCAACTTCTTTGGTCGACCATGGCAAGGCCTGTTCTGAATGGAACCTGTCCTGTGAAACCACTGTATGGTCTTGCTCACCATGCTGCAGCTCAGTTTCAGGGTCTTGGCAATCTTCGTATAGCCTAGGCCTTCTTTATGTAGAGCAACAGTTCTTTTTTTCAGATCCTCAGAGAGTTCTTTGCCACAAGGTGCCATGTTGAACTTCCAGTGACCAGTATGAGATAGTGTGAGAGCGATAACACACCTGCTCCCCATTCACACCTGAGACCTTGTAACACTAATGAGTCACATAACACCGGAGAGGGTAAATGGCTAATTGGGCCCAATTTGGACATTTCCTATTAGGGGTGTACTCACTTTTGTTGCTAACAGTTTAGACATTAATGGCCGTGTGTTGAGTTATTTTGAGGGGACGGCTGATTTACACTGTTTTACAAGCTGTACACTTACTACTTTACATTGTAGCAGAGTGTCATTTCTTAAAGAAGGATATTATAGCACTAGAAAAAATGGAGAGGCGTGCTACAAAATTAATAAAAGGAATGGAACATATCAGCTTTGAAGAAAAGTTAACAAATTTAAACCTATTTAGTTTAGAAAAACGTCACCTGAGAGGGGATATGATAACATTATACAAATATGTTCGGGTCCAATACAAACCATTGTGTGGAAATCTATTCACAAACCGGACTTTACATAGGACACAAGGACATGCGTTTAGACTGGAAGAAATAAGATTTCTTCTAAGGCAAAGGAAAGGTTTTTTTTACTGTAAGAACAATCAGGATGTGGAATTCTCAGAAGTGGTTTTATCAGAGTCCATACAGATGTTCAAACAGCTACTAGATGCATACTTGCAAAAACAGAATATTCAAGGATATGATCTTTCAATGTAGGGTAATAACTGCTTGATCCATGGATAAATCTGACTGCCATTCTGGGGTCAAGAAGGATTTTTTTTCCTAGCTTGTTGCAAAATTGTGCTTCAAACTGTTTTTTTTTGCCTTCTTTTGGATCAACAGCAAAGGAGAGGAGGCTGAACTTAATGGACGCAAGTCTCTTATCAGCTATGTAATTATGTAACTATGTAACTATGAAAAGATATAATAAAATATTTACAAGAATGTGAGGGGTGTACTCACTTTTGTACACCTCTCACATTTTTGTTTAGTGAATGAGTGAGTGCGCAGGATTTTCTTGTAGAAATGCTGTAAAAAATTTAAAACAGTCATTTTGACATTCATGAATTTTTTTATTTTTTTTGTGATAATGTGTTTTATCATATTTGTTTTACTTTTTAACAAGAATTATTCCATAACAGTTTTATGTACATATTTTAAGACTTTCTGTTGACTCACCTAAAGCAACACGGGCAGCTGAAGCATCATAGTTGATCCAAAAAGAAACCCATGAAAGAATAGTGATCAAAATAGAAGGCATATAAGTTTGCAAGATGAAATATCCAATGTTCCTCTTTAATTTAAAACTGAGCGATAACCTGGGATAT